GGTCCAAGAGCTCTCCCCTGTTGCAGATCAGCTGTCTCTGCTGGTTTTGACAGCCCTTTCTTTGCCAATTTGCTCATCGCTCATCCCTCTCTGTCACTGGGTTCCATGGGTTTAGTTCAGTGTTTAACTGTGGGTGTTTGCTTCTGCTTCCATCAGCCATTGGATAAAGGCTCCAGGATGGTTATGGATATCAAGTTCATTAACAGGAATGGGCATTCAAGGAGGTCTCTCCACTATTGCTTAGCTTGCCAGTTTGTGTCTTCCCTTTAGATTACTAGAGGTCTCACTAGTACAAGATGTGTCTTCTAACCTGTGATTCCCTCTTCCCCTTATTCTACTCTCCACTCAACCTTCCTGTTCCCCCATGACCTACTCTCTATTCCAATTCTTCTCCTCTCTTCTTCCCAGCTCCCACTCCCACGCACCCCTCGATGTGTTCTCAATCTGTTCAATGATCTTGCCTCATTTCTCTTCTCTGAGGTACCATGCATATCTCTCTTAGGTTTTTTCCTGTTTCCCAGACTCAAGATACATTCTAATTTTATGGATCCTAAACTGAAAAATTTGTTTGAAACTTCTTGTAGTCATTAAAATGTCAAGTTTTTACCAACCACATCCTAGCCATTAAAATCACCTCACGTTTAGTATCTTCACTACTTAGTGAGCAACTAACTGCCCAAGTATAGACATAACTTGTATTTCCAATCATAACAAGTCTATATGTGCTCCAGTGAGGAAATTTTTGGACTTGTAGTCTAGTGTAGGATCTAAAACCCCATGTCTTAATAAGATCCGGATGCTTCTTAAATATGTTAAACTTTGAGAGGTACTCTGTCTAAACCTCATCCTGGGAATTTCCAGGACAAATCTGGTCACAGGGAAGAGTAAGATTTATCTAAGATAGTTGTGGTAGTATACTACACTATACTATAGTATAGTAGTATACTAAAACCCCAGCAACTAGCACTTGGGAGGCTAAGACAGGAGTACTGGGGTTTAACACCACTATGGACTATACAGCAAACTGTAAGCCAGCCTAGGATACAAAGTGAAAGCCTGTCTGTAAATAAATATGTAAATAAGCAGCATTCAGCAGGGTCAGGGGCATGGACCCATGGTGAAGAACTTGTCAGGCCTGCATTAAACCCCACTGAGTTTAGTCTCCTGGCACTGCAGAGAAAAATAGAAGGATCATCCAAGAAACCTTTGCCTTTTCATACTAACCCAGTATTCCTCCTCTGCTTAAGTGTAGTTATTGTCATAGTTAGAAAAGCCTTGGGTATTATACTCACTCCTCTCAGGAAGTAATCTTCTATTTTTGTCTTTCATCCCCCAGCTGTGATTTTCCATGCCTTTTCTCATAAAAAAGCCAAGTGCACAATGGACAGGTACAGTCTTTCAAATGTGGGCTGGGGGCAGGAGACTTGACAGCAAAGATGACTCAGAGTTTTCTAAGACTGGTCTAGCTGTCCTTTCCTATGGGTTACTCCTCATCTTTACAGTCAGTATGTTAGGCTGCATCAAGGTCGTTGTACTGACATCTTCATGTGCCAGACTCCTTTCCTAGGGTACCAGAGTCAGCTCTGAGGGACTTGGAGTCCTTGATTTCATGCCATCTTCCATTCTGTAAGGAGTGACAATGACAGCCTGTGCCTACATGAAACTTCTCTTGCTCTTGCTTCGATGTCCCGTTCAATGCTCATTCCATGTCGTAAGTGAATGTTACAGATTCTGTCTGGGTGTGTCACCATGCTTTGTCAGTTGGGCAGAAGCTTCACATGTCCTGCCAGGCTGTGTGGAGCATGCATTTAATCCCTGTGACTGGGAGGCAGAGACAGGTGGCTGTCTCAGTTCAAGGACAGCCAGGGCTACACTGAGAAGCTCTGTCTTGAAAAAAAACAGAGAGACAGAGACAGAGACCGAGAGACAGAGAGAGACACAGAGAGAGAGAGAAGAGAGAGACTATCTTTGAAATCAAGCTTGTAAAATGCCACTAAACCTTTAATTTCATTTCCCTATAAAAGAGAGAGCACATATGTACTTAAAAGAACCAAATTGTCCAGATATTAATGATGTACTGTTTAGCCATCCCTGCCTTGAAGTACCTCAAAGATTGTGTATTCTGTCTTTTTACTCCCCCCCCCCCCCGTTAGCACAGAGAGGGTATCAGTCACTGTTGCTAAATTGACCTAAAGCTGGCAGTTAGCCTCAGACTTGCTTTTCCTGTCTGGTTGGTGCAAAAAGAGCCCTGCAAAGAGCCTAGCCAAAAGTAGGTGTACTATGATGTTTTACTCTTTCACTTTTCTGGGGGCACACCACCCAGCTCCCAAACAGACCACAAACACAGGCTTATTGTCAATTATAAATGCCTGGCTTGAGCTCAACTTGCTTCTATTCAGCTTTTTTTTTCCAATTTAAATTTAGATAAGAAACAAGGTTGCTTCACAAGTCAGTTCCAGGTTCCTCTCCCATTCCCTCCCCTCCTCCCATGCCCTCCCTTCAACCCCCCACCCGTTATCCCCTCATTCCCCCAGGGAGGGTGAGGCCCTTCATGGGGGTGTCCATAGTCTGTCATTTCATATAGGGCAGGGCCTAGACCCTTCCCCAAGAGTTCAGGGTGAGAGTGCACCTCACATTGTTCTATGGGAGTCCAAAGTCTGTGTGTATATTTGGGATGGGTACGGATCTGCTGCCCAAGGCTCAATAGATTCCCTAGGCCTCCTCACTGACACCCAAATTGAGGGGGTATTGATTTTCCCAACTACCTTTTGCTTCCTGGCCTTTTCTTTTTCTTACTTCCGCATATCTTATTTCTCTCTTACTCCATGACCGGCTGGGTGGTGGCCCCTGACGTTCTCCTCCACTTGTCCTCTTCTTGCTTCCTCTCTTCCTCCTTTCTGGTCTATTTATACTGACTGCCTGCCAGCCTTGCCTGTTCTTGCTCTTGTCTTGCTATTGGCCTTTCTGCTCTTTATTAGACCACCTGGTGTTTTAGCCAGGCTCAGTAACACAGCTTCACAGAGTTAAGCAAGTGCAGCATAAACAAAAGTCACACCTTAAAATAATATTCCCAGACAGGTAGGTCCTCAGGAATGAGCACTACCAAGGCTTGCTGTCCAGTAAATTGGAGACTGTTGCACCCCACCTTTAGAGGTGGTGATGCTGGACTGTTTCAGGACTGGATGCAACTGTGAAGTATTTTCACTTAGTCTTCCCTAGGAATCCCAAGTTCATGGTTCTGACATTCTACCTGTTTCTGACTTCATGACAGATACAGTCTCTTCCTTCCTCTGGAGGTAGTATAGCCACTACCTGTGCCATGGGTACCTTAGTTGGTGCTTGCCTGGCAGGTATCAAGTCTGGGTTTCCTTCCTCAGCGTCTTATCAAACTGGCAATATTCTGATCCTAGCACTTGGGAGGCAGACTCTGCAGGTCCAGAAGTTCAGGGCTATCCTCAGATCCATGGTGAGTGTGAGGCCTATCTGGGTTCCATGAAACCACACCTTGAATATGTTAATTGAAGGCTTAGAGATTTGGAAGCAGTGGATATTGGAGTATTAAGGATGGAAGGAGGGACCATGAAAACTCAAAGGTCTGTTCCTGAGACTTGGTGTGTGTGCCGGTTCTGAATGTGAGATGAAGGGAACCTGGCAGAGGAATGAAAGCAATGCAGTTATTTGGGAGAAAGTGAATGAAGTATAAAACCTGGTCTATGGTAATTTGGCTGCTTGGCTTTGAAGTTAGATTTTTGGTGCCTAGAAGTTCTTGGAAATCCTAGCCATTTCATTTTGCCTTCAACCTTTCTCTCTGTTTACCACAAGGCATTGATAATAGGTGGACTGAGCCAGGGGTTGTCCTCAATGAGAAATGAGGCAGGTGTTGGCAGCACCACTGAGGTCCATGGCTTGAAATGATAATGAGCTAGAAGCTAAAGTCAGTGTGATGTGTCCAGGGAGGGCTCTTGTTTGAGGATTGTAGGATGCAGTGTGGGGGTAAAGCTGTTTGAGCATCAGGCATTTGAGACATCTGTGGGAGATCCTTAACCTTCCAGAAGATTTCAGAAACCAGCTTGCTATTCTCCTCTTCATTCACTCTCTATATTCTACTTTCCAGAACTTCGATATTGGATCTGAGTAACTCTAATGAGTATAATATGATAATTTATAAATAGATGATTTTCATTTACCATAATCTTTATAGGTCTGGCCATGCTAGCACATGGCCACACTTCCTTCCCTGTGAGGACAAATAATACCTATGTGTTGTAATACAATATGCTGATTTACTTACCCTCTGATGGGTATTTAGCCCTTCCCAGCTCTTAGCTTACAGTGAACAGTGCTATTGTGAGTGTTAGTATACAATAAAAAGTTTTAGTCAACAAGTAAACTTGTGAGACTTCATTCTCCTACCAGAGATTGAGAGATACACAGTGGTGATGATCTAGAATATTAAGGACCCCCTTTGGTCTCTGACAGAAGTCAGAAGGCCTTTTGTGCAGCAGGAAAGAGTTCCCTTTGGGCCGCAGTCAACTTTTCCTTTCCAGTATATTTAATTGTATGAATTCGTTGAACCTTTATTTGATTATTCTCATATTTTTGAGTACTTAAATTTGGGTCTTTTAAAATTCTGGAGTGTTCATTTATTGAAATGTAATTTTGAGCATGCAGTTGTTACTTGGGAATGAATTCTAGGTGATGACATTGTCAAAGGCAGGATTCCCTTTCTGTTTTGATGGAAGGACTGCCATGTTTTCATCCAAAACTCAGTTCGCACATTTATCTTTATACAACTGCATGTATTCTATATATTTTATATGCTGTATCTGTATAATATCTCTATAGGAATGGAAAATGAGCTCCTTTCAGTATTTTGCTGTGTATAACATCTTTCAATTTCTCTCATGTGTGTATTCACTTCTGTCTAAGTAAATTCAGATTATCTTTGGAGTGATATTAAAATGTATGCTGAAATTTTAACTATTTTGGAAACAGGGTTTGTGGACTTCTGAGTTTGAGGCCAGCCTGCTCTACCTAGTGAGATCCAGACCAGCCAGAGCTGCCTAGTGAGAACCTGTGACTTCTTCGGATGTTTGTCTTCATTTTGTAATATGGTATGTACTCACTCATAAGTGAATATTAGACATAGAGCAAAGGATAGCCAGCCTACAATCCACAACCTCAGAGAAGCTAAGAAACAAGAAGGACCCTAAGAGAGACATACATGGACCCCTAGAAATGGGACAAAATCTCCTGAGCAAATTGGGAGCATGGGGGAGGGGGGAGAGAGGAAAAAGAAGAAGGAAGAAGGGGAGGGGGAAGAGAACATAAGGGATCAGAAATGTCAGGTAGGGGGAAAAACAGAGAAGGAGAGCAAGAAAAGAGACACATCAATAGAGGGAGCCATTATAGGTTTACAGAGAAATCTGACACTAGGTAAATCTCAAGGGATCCACAAGGATGACCCAATTAAGAATCTAAGCAATAGTGAAGAGGCTGTCTTAAATGTCCTTCCCCTATAATGAGAGTGATGACTACCTTAAATGCCTTCATAGAGCCTTCACCAAATAAGTGATGAAGGCAGAAGCCAAGATTCTCAGCTAAGCACTGAGACAAACTCTTGGAATCCAGCTGCAGAGAGGGAAGCATGAGGATCAAAGGGGTCAAGACCATGCCATGGAAACCCAAAGAAACAACTGACCTGAGCAATTGGGTCAGGGACCCCAGTCTTGAAGCAGGGACCCAGCATAGGATCAAACCAGGCCCACTGAACATTGCTGTCATTTGGGAGTCCTGGACTTTCAATGGAACCTCTGGAATTGGACCCAGTATTTATCTCTAGTGCATGACTGGACTTTGGGAGCCCATTCCCTATGGAAGGATACTCTCTCAGCCTAGATACAAAGGTTAAGGCCTAAGCCCTGCCCCAAATTATGTGACAGACTTTGATTATCCTCCATGGAAGGCCTCTCATTACCTGAAATGAGGATGGGGTTTTGGTGAGGGGAATGCGATGACGGGAATAGAGGGAACTGGGATTGGTATGTAAAATAAGATGGTTTTTAATTTAAATAAAATTAATTTAAAAATACTAAATGTACAATTAATATATCATGTTATATTTATATAGAAAATATATCTTTATGACAATGTATCTATGTGTATGTTATAAAAGAAGGGGAAAATTGCCTAGGGAAATGTAAGGTTCTAACAGTAGAGAGAAGACCAGAGTAAAACTGGGTGGTGCAGTGTGGAACAGGATAAAGTACAATATATGCTACTATGAAAACATTCCCAGAGTCTCATTAGTACATGCAAAAATATGTACCAATTTTAAAGAATGACATGACTGGGTGTGGTATCACACACCATTAATTCCAGCAGAGATTACAAGTCAAGAGGGAAATCTCAGTTTGAAGTCAGACTGGTGTACATAGCAAGTTACAGGCCAGCCAGACCTACATAGTGAGACCCTGTCTCTAAAGCAATAAATAAAACACAAACACTGGAATAGGATAGAATGTAGACTAATGGTTAATAGGGAATGGGTCTTATTAGCTGATAGAATTTCAGTTTTGGAAGTTTAAAAATGATTATAGAGAGAGAAATGTCAATGATAGGAAGCATGCATTTAAATGTGTTATTTTCTTTTTTTTTTCTTGTTTGGTCTGATTTTATTGATTTCTTCCACCTTCCATTATTTTCCCAGGGAATTTTTGACCCCTTCCCCAGGCAAAACCAGCCTTGGGCCATACCACTGGGCCCTCTGCCCTGTCCTCTTTATGGGAGGAGGAGGAGAGGGGCTGGAGATCTCTTTCACCCATCAAACCCTACTGCAAAGGGAAACTCCAAAACTGGACAAAGTCTGGCCGAGACTGGAGCTCTCTAATGGGAGAATCACCTGAACTTGGGGAGAGGTAGGGCTAGGAACAGAAAAGGAGGGGTGTGTAAAGGGTTAAAGGTCTGACCCATGGGGGTGGGGAATGCCCCCAGGAGCTGTCACTTTCCCACCCCACCACAACTCTCACATCCCTAAAGTGGCCCTCAAACATAGAAACAACCAGCTTTTCCATCACCAAAGTCCCTCTGTCCCTTTCTTTTTGTCTCTTGGCAGTAACCACTTTGCTCCCCTGGCCACCCGCTGATGGCAGAGATGGACCTGGCCATGCAACCTTCTGCAGTTAAGGCTTTTCCGGACGCCAGCCCTTGATTCCTCCGCAAAGATGAGAAGGGAATATCACCCCGACCTTTCAGATGCTTGAAGATAACTGTCATTTGAGGTCACTAGACATACTCCATTAAACGAAAAGAAAAATAAAAATTACAGACAAATCTGAGACTCAAGACACCCTCCTGGAGTCTTCACTCTTCCCGGGGACCCAATTTGCTCCGGGGTAGAACAGGTCAAATGCTCAGAGTTCTTCCAAGTTGATTTCCAAGTTGATACACTAGGATTTCAGGCCCTGGGGCTCTGGGACAGGGGACTCTCCCATCTGCCACCTCCACAGCGGGTGGGCAGGGAGAGGCTTTGCAAAGCCAGGAAGCTGGCCCTAAGTCTCCATCCTCTTCCACCACCAGGGCTGGGGGACAAGGAAAGCAGTCCAGGAGGCTGAAGGTGCTGGAGGTGGGGAGCATTGGGGTGGGCTGCCGGCGCTGCCTGGACAGGGATTCCACCCACTGCAGCCACAGATCCTGGTGCAGGCTGCTCTGAAGAATCAGGTTCCCGGGAGAGGCCCGCAGGTGGCGGCGGAGGCCGGGAGCTGGGTTAATGGGGTGGACTGCTAGCAGCCTCAGGCTGGGACTCCAGACCCTGGGCTGGCCTGGGCGGCGACAGGCGGAGCTGGTCGGAGATTCCTGAGGACTCAGGGAAGCAGGGCAGCGGCCGGGAGGTGCACAGGAACCGGCGCCGAAGTTCTGGAAGCTGCCTCTGCCCTCTTCCTCCTCTCCACCTCCTGGGCACACCGAGATGTCTGCATCCTCGCGGGCCGCGGAGCTCATGTCGCTCGGTCGCCTGGCCTGTCCCCCGAGGTGCTTAAGGCTGTCCGCGGCCCGGCCGCCGGTGCATGGTGGGGCCCAGGGCCCCAGCAGCACCGGGGTCCGAGGCGCCATCTCTCCAGGCCCCAGGCCTAGGGCGGATGGCCGGGGTTTGGCAAGGGTGCAGAAGGCTAGGGCACAGAGGGAAGAACTCCGGGGTCCTCCGACATGGCTTCCGGGGCGTGGGCGGAGATGCGGGCGCTGCCAGGCAGGGAGGAGGACACAGAGTCTCCATGGAGCAGCCTTGGGGGTCGCGCACTGTAGGGGCACTGGTCCCAAAGGCGGGATGTCCCTGTGGCCCAAAGAGCCCGCGGGCCAGAGGAACATGGCCCCCCCGTCGACAGGGAGGTCTGTGCTCATGGGGGCCCTGGGCCCCCCACCCCTCTGGCTCCCTCTGAGGTCTCATCATGCAGCCCTCAAGGACTCCTGGGTCCCAGCGCATCCCCAGCTAGATCTGTTGTGCTTCCTGCCACCTCCTTCCTGGCGCACCCCCCTCAATGCTGAGGCAGAGGCAAAAAAATCCTGCTGGAGTTCACTGCCCTGGGAAGGACCCCAGCCCAGCGCCCAGTGCCCGGCCCAAGGGCAGGGAGGCCGCCTTCTGCCCTCTTGGCTTCTTTCTAGATATGGCATTTTCTTAGGACAGAGTTGCCATGGAGTAAAGGGAACATGATTTCGGTGTCTGTCTTGGTCTGACTGTAATTACACTGGATTTGTTTTAAATTCAATTAACCAAGTTCATTTTACCTATGTATGCATGATACCTCACAATTATGTGTTAAATAGGAGCTGTTCTAATCAATCTAAGTTCTGTGTGAACCTTTTGAATTTTTTGTTGTTATGTCTGAATACATCTGCTAGTGCCGTGGTAGATGGTAGAGTTAATGTTAAGAATTTTATTTCTGGGTGGAGGGACTTCATAATTCATATTGAGCAAAAAAGCAGTAATATTAGGAGGTGTTTTTGCGGTGGTGGTCTGCCAATGGATTTCAGTGGGAAAGGCTTACAAAAAAATTCCTCTAGGAGAACGTTCACTTAGAATGCATCTGTTTCTCTGAGAGGGGGATTGGAGAATTTTTTTCTGATTATAGCATTGTGTAAAAATTCCTTCAACTTTAATGAACCTATGTTGAAAATATAGTTTAAAGACAAAAACTTTTGTTACCAATTCTATAACCTGCCACTCTCTCACGCACGTGGTTGCAGTGGTTCGCATATGGGGATGAGACTGAGATTATGAGAACTTTCTCAGTTTTTCATTCAAAGCTTCAAGATTAGGATTTTCCACAGGACATTTCTGGTGCTCACAGCCATTAAACTGAAATCATCTCAAGTCCTGTCCCTTTTGTGATAATGTAGCTTTGACAGTTGGTATGAAGTAGAAAGATATAGGATGACTCATCGTAGTCTTGATAAAACAGCAATTGGATTGATGTGGTGAGAGTGTGACAGGCTTAGCTGCTCATGTGTGTATTTTGCTCATTTTCCTGGTGCTTTCCTTCTGTGTGTGACACGCATTTGTGGGGACTCTAAGAGACAATTCACTGTGAATTCAGTGAAGCCTTTGACAAAGTCTATCAGGAGAAGATGTGAAGGCTGTTTTTTTCCCCTGGATGGAAATCTGTTGATTCCCCTCCATCCCAGAGAGGGTTTCTCAGTGTAACCCTGGCTGTCCTGGACCTCACTCTGTAGACAGGCTGACCTAGAACTTAGATATCTACCTGCCACAGTGATTGGAGTAAAGGCTTGCACCACCACTTCCCAACAGTCAGGTTGGAAAACTGTAAACATTTTAAGAACTCTTAGTGTTAGCTACTGATACTTCAAAAATCTCTCCTTGTTTTTTTATTTGTGTGTGTGTTTTTATTTTTATTTTTATTTTGTCATAGGGAAGCAAATTTCTGGGACCAGGAAATCTCAATTGAGAAAATGCCCCCATAAGATTGACTGGAGGAGGTCCCTCCCCACCCTAGGTGGGGCCATCCTTGGGGAAGCTACTCTGGCATGTATAAAAAAGGAATCTGAGCAAGCCATGTGGAGAAAGCCACAGGGAGCAATCGAGTAAGCATCTTCTTCCAAGGTGTCTACTTCAGTTCCTGCCTCAACATTCCATGATGAGTGACCCCCAAGTCCAATAAACCCTCCCTCCCCATGTTGCTTTTTTTTTCTTTTTTTTTTTTTTTGATTTTATGAGACAGGGTTTCTCGGTATTGTTTTGGAAGCTGTCGGTCCAGCCCGGCCTCGAACTCACAAAGATCTGCCTGCCTCTGCCTCCCGAGTGCTGGGATTAAAGGTGTGCGCCACCACCGCCCGGCCCCATGTTGCTTTTGATCAATGTTTTATCACAGCAATGCAATGATTTTAGAACACTGTCCTTTTGAGTTTCCCCACATCATAAAACTCGGAGCAAAATGAATGTTAAAAAACTTGATAGAGTCTGGAATAGACATATCTATACCTACTCTCCAAAACTAAATTGCAAACAAGTTATTCAAAATAAAACTTCAATTTATTGTCATTTTACACAACTGCAATCATAAATTTAATGGTGTTGAAGGGAGTTGGCAGAGAAAAGCATATGCCTGTCTGAGCTTTTACTCTATAGTGGAAGAATAACAAATTGTCAACACTTTTCTAGTCAGAACACAAAACAGGTTGAGGCTGTAGCAGCAGGTCAGCAGTAGATAACATTGTGGCTCTTACAGAAGATACAAGTTAGCCTGAACCCACACCAGGCCCTCACAGGTACCTTTAACTCTAGCTCCCAGGCATCTAGTGCCCTCTGGGGACCTCCACAGGCAACATTACTCATGTGCACACAGAGTTAGTTTGAAAGAAAATTAAAGAGTAGGGATTCTGTTAGGTTAAAGAAGAAATGTGCACTGCAATAATTGTATCACTTAAGTGGAAGATGAGTTATTAGGTTGGGGAAATGTCAGTTATTTCTATTAGAAAAGCTCAACTGAACTAGGAAGAATTTTATTTCTAGTTCTTGAAAAAAGTAAAAGGACTGGAGAAATAGCTCAGATTAAGTGTATTCAAACAAGCTTGTTTCTAATTTAAATAAACAACATTTATTCATTGCTTTTGCAGGGAATCACATAGCAAATCCCAATCACATGCAAGTATGGTTCCCTGGGATCTGATGCCCTCTTGAGCTCCATGTTTTGTACACACATGGTACACATGCACACAGTGTTACACACATATCCGTAAAGTAAATATGTTTTTAAAAGTAAAAAAAAATCTAATTATACAATGGTTCTCGACGTCCTTAATGCTATAACTCTTTAGACCAGTTCATGTTTTGATGACCTGAAACAATAAAGTTTCATTGCTACTTCATAACTAAATTTCCTGCAGCTATGAATTATAAAATATGTATATATATCTGATAAGTAGGGTATATGATCCACTTTGTGATTGCTACCCACAAGTTAATAGCTATTTCTTTAGATTATTAAAATTACAATATTGTGTTAATGGACAAACGTCTTTGTTGTTATTTATAGCAAATGGATAGTAACCAACAGTTAATATGCAAAATCTTCAGGTTTAGAAGTTTATTATTTCTGTGTGTATATTTGGATCTCTATGTGCTTGCATGGAGGTGTCTGTGGAAGCTTGGGGAGCACATCAGATACCACCGAGCTGGAGTTACAGGCAGTTTTGAGACAAAAATGTAGGTGCTATGGTTTGAACTCTGGCCTTCTGAAGATGGGGGAGCATTTTTACCTACCTAGTTATCTTTCCAGTTTGTCTTTGAAGTACACAAGTGCGAAGTTTGGATCTTATTCCTGGAAGTTAGTGGAAACAATTTACATCACATTTTTACTTTGGAGATTCTAGATATTATCTTCCTGGTTCCCAATTCCTGCACTGTGATGATTTGTCTTTTAGAATTATGGCATGAATTACAGTTCATTTGGATGTCAGCTGCACTGAGAATGATACCAAGTATAGACACGTCATAAACTTTGCTCTCACCCAGAACTGTACGAGGATCAGGGTATGTTCAGCTTTAAACTCAAAGGTCTGTTCTAAATGCTTGGTATTGTTATTATGTTAGTTCATCCCTCAAGCCTCCTCAGAGAAGCTTCCTTTTGCAATGGACTAGTTAATACAGACTCAACATTCTGAGACTCCAGAATACTCAGTCTCAAATAGAACCTCTATATCACCCCTTCCCCAAAGGCTCAAAACCATCACAGAAGAGGGGCCAGCAAGACTAGAAGAACGAAATATTGTCATGGATAACATATGACAGGGCAATTATGCTGAAACTTGCAGGACCCACTGTTGT